TTGTAAGCATATATATGTGTGCATATACATACATATATGTATATGCCTACACATACATGCACAGACAAAGTACTCAATCTGAGAATTATGCAGGCAATTCATGTTACTTCAGTTAAAAACTTTTGCCACACAAGTAGGAATTGGAAGTCTGTTTCAGGTCTTCACTTTGAGAAAATTCAGAAATACTGCAATTGCAGAGCACTAAGGCAATGCATACAGTCTTTGTTCTCTAATTTAGCTTTCTTTGCACAGATGAGACATCTGCTTGGAGGAAAATGGGAAAATGTCGTTTTTAATAAATATACAATGCCTGTGGCAAATTAGGATTGTATTTGACAATCCTACAAAAGTACAGAGGAGGCAAAGTTTTTAATGCTGATTATCATCCAGATCTTCAATATATTTTCAACAGCCATTAAAATAGTCATCTTCAAAGAACTTGTCAGGGGAAAAGTAAAATATGGTTATATGGAACAAATTCCTTCATACAAAGATTCTTTTTACATGGTTTCCTACCCAGGATCATCAGTCTTTTTAAAAGAAGTGGGAAATACTTTGGATCATGTTTCCTATTGTCTTTGAAAATATTGTTATTTAATTTTCTGACAGTATTCTCCTAATTGTCAAACACTGTATGTCATCCTCCATTTCTTATTTCCCAGGCAAATTTAAAATTTTGTGTTTTAAATCCCGGATCCTGAAAGCAAATGCATACATGGACTATAACAGACTACGCAAATATGAATTATGACATAATCTGGTAACATGCAATGAAATTATTATTAACAGTTAAATCTGAAAAAAAAAACAAAACAAAACAAAACAAAAAACCCAGCACAAAGATTGTTATCATTGTTTAGTAACTTACACCTTGAGAACAGAGCATAGGACATAATGGATCTGTGAGGTCTCATTATGCTACAATGTCTGTTCAAGACTCTCTTCCCTTGTCTACTGAAACCCTTGATCTAAGTTTTATTATTATTTCCACTTCATTAAAGAATTCATCTTTCTTGGTTGCATTAAACCTAAATAGCAGGATGAAAAAAATGTTGGAAAACGGCTCTAGTTCTGTATCATCTGTGTCTGGGCTTAGATCTCTGCAATCCAGGCAGCAACCAGCAAACAACTACTGAAAGGACGACTTCTGCCCACAGTATACCTTGCTCTCACTGAATTTGCTGCCAAAACAGCAGAGAGCAACTGGAAAAAAGATTTCCCTTTGGCACAGAGCTTGACTGAAAAGACTTCAATTTTAAAACCACTCAGAAAATATTCTCTGATCAAAATCAAAACCTACATTCTCAAAAAAGACATCCTGGACATTCCTAAAATAGAAAGATAATGGACAGTTTTTCTGTTGCTGGCATATGAATTGTTGCAAGAACCCAGCACTGCAACCTGCTGATGTAATTGCTCTTCTGACAACTCATGAGCTTATACTTCTGATGCCAAAAGATCCAGGTTCAACCTTTAAAATAGACCTGAAGGAAGACGTGCAAGGAAACTGCCAAGGAGAACCCTACTGCCCCCAAGGGCAGGAATAGGCATAAAGAGTTCCTGGAAAGATTTTCACTTTTAAGAGTGCACAACAATGTAGACAATTTTGGATGCCGCTGGCACTGTCACACTTGACTTGTGTTTTCCTGAGGTTTTGGTCTCGACAACACATCCTTCCTGATAAACAATGGATAATCCATGTCCTTCCCATCAACCTTTCATCATCAGTGCACCCCTGAGGAACTGAGAAATTAGGAATTTCCCCTTAGTGGTAAATAAACTCCTACTTTAGCTTTGTAATACCTGTCTTTAAAATTACAACATTTTGGGACCATATCTGCTTCAAAATAGAGCATTATAACAAGAATAAACCTAGTTCTGGTCAAAAATAGAATTGTAACCAACTTTGAGCCATCTTTCTGTGCTCACATGCACATCCAGAAGAATAAACACTCCAAACAAGTTCCTCAAAGGTCTGAAGACATCTCTGACACTATTATTTTATATTACTATTATTTTATTTTATAATAAATGCTACAATATAGTACACATAAATGGTGTATATACCATCCTATTATTACATTTTCTGATGATCAATATATTAGTGAGAAGACAATAAACCATTAAGTACATTATAAATGACAAAAATAGTTCATGAGAGCAATGTATCAAATGACTCTGCATAAGCCTCTGCCTGCCATATCTGCTCTCTGCCCATTATGGGTAAAGAAACACCTGGACCTTATAAGCAGCTATCTGGCAAACCTCTATATCTTTCATTTAGATAGCACTTTCCATGACTTTCCATGCTAAAACTAGTTCTTGAGGAAGAGAAGCATCCTTTTTTGTCTAGATGTTTACATAAATATTGATATGGATAAGGCCAATATAGGCAGATTAGATAATAAAAAATTCTTTGCTGTTTCATATCAAAGAAAAACCCAACACCTTGGGCTTGGGGCTTCAGTTCCTCCCTCATCAGCTAGCACAGCAAGTCACACTAACGTCATGGATTTGTCTACATAAAACATCAACTTTCAGTAGGAAGTGAACACTAAGGCAAGAGGAAAGGCACAGATGACTTCTTTGTTCTTTCTCGCTGGTTTCAGGAGGTTTTCATTTTGCTTTGTTTCAACCAGAGTTTCTCACTGTCCATTCATCAGTAACACCATGAGGATGTGCTACCCTAAGTCCAAGACACTGTGAAGTGCTGTTCAGGAGCAGCAACAAAAAGCAATCCCTCAAATAAAGTTTTTTTTGGGACAGAGTGTTCCTGAACTACATGGACAGAGCAGGAAGGTCTGTTTCTCCTGTTCTGCCAGGGATTAGGGGCTGAGAAGGAAGAAAGGTTCAGGGAAGGAGGCCCTGGCCTGTGGTCTTTTTACACAACTCGAGAACAGAGGACAAATGACATTTGTGGAGCATCATATGATAGAGTAGCAAATGGGAACAGGTACGAAAAAATACATGAAACGAGAGTGAATGATAACTAGAAATTTACCCTAGGTCCTCACTTGGGATCATGTCTCCCTCACCTCTGCTATTCCACAGCTTGGACTTTTCCAGACAGAAACAGAGCCTCTGTCTTTTGGTTTTAGGGTCTGGGACTTCACTGCTCACAGCTGGGAAGCAAAAGCTGTGATTGCTCCATATGAAGCAAGACCATATTTTCTATTTGAGTATTATGTTGTTCTGTTCCTCTTCTCCACAGAGAATAACGGAAAATCAATCTAGTGGGACTTTTTTACTTGAAAAAGTACTACTTGATCTGCTTGATCCCTAGAAAGAGCACAAACCTCTCTACAGGGTTAAATGAGTGCAACAGGCACTGCTTGAAAGGTATGAAATTTGCAGGTATCAGGTAGCAGCAAAGATGTACAGAGCTGCATGCAACACAAATCAAAGTAGATGCAAAGAACCTCAGAAGAAATAAGTGAGAAGGGAAAGAGAATAGAGATAAAAGCATTTGTATGTATTTACATAGATTAAGCTGGGCAAACTGACAAGCAAATATACACTTCTGGAAGTGGCTGGCAGAAACTGATTACAGGAAAAGGAGGGAAGGAAATTAAAAATATACAAGTGCTTCTAGAATATACGCATTCATGTAACAAGATGGAACAGCTGAAGAGAAGAGAATGATTTTCCAGAGCCACAAAGAAAATCGTGAGACCCAGGGCATGGCTTTTGCTTGACTGGCATGATACATCAGAAAGTTAAGAAGAAAAAAAAATTAATTTACACATTCTCTACTCTGGCTAACATTTCCAGACCTACCCAGGCATGTGTCAGAGATCCCTGTCCTTGCAAATCAGCCCCTAACAGCACTCCAGACCTTCTTCTTCCTTAGTGCAAACTCCCATAAGCTATGGAAGTCTTCTGCAATCAAGCCTTTGTCTCAAACTTGTACATTCCTATGGTCTGTTTTTCTTTTAACACCACCCCAAGAATGACCAAGAACTGGTTTTGTGTTCCTCTCCAGAGACTGTAGTCCTAGAGACTTGTATGAACCTCTATCAGCCATGGCAACAGTTACACACTTATTTACTCAGTGCATTTATTTCTCAAAAAAAACAACTGTATTAAAGAAACAACGAAAAAATTATAATGCTAGACATACTGAGGTTATAGTATTGAAAAAATTAACACACCTGCTGGTCAAAATGTTATCTTTAGTCTACTCCTCACTCTGATGCACTGTCTCAATTTAAAAGTATGTTTATTACGAAGGCATTTATGAGAGTGTCATGTTACGGATATGAAGATAGACCAATATATTTGTAATGTATATAGATGTACACATTTTCTTCCATAAAAATCTAGCAGCTGGATAGATTTCTGCAGAGCTAATGGAAACTCTTCCTTCCTCTTCACAGTTTTTTAGTACTAGCAGGAATCTCTGATTTGACCTTGGGCAAGGCATTTAAATTCTTTGTGCCTATGTTTTGTCATCTGTAAAATTAAGGCTATAATACCTACCTACTTCACAAGAGGGACAGTGTTAAATTTAATGCACTAATGTTTTAAAGTGTTTTCAGACAGCTGGATCAAAAACACTACAGAATGTAAGTTATTATTAAATTATGCTTCACTGAGTTAATGTTGTTGCTTTGATTAAATAAGAAAAAAATATTCAAATGACACCTCTTGGATACTTTTTTTTTCCAGAGGATGCAGCCTACAGATGGACTCAAAGGCTTATTTTGGAGAAAGAAAGAAAGTAGGGAAATGTAGTAGTCAATAGACGTGAAAGAGTCCTGAGGAGTGGATGATTACAAGGGTGTTTAAAGCAATTGTGAAGTAGAGCAGAAGGCAACTGCACCTTGTGCCCTACTGTGACACATCAGTCTCTGGAAGCAATACAGTCGCTGTTCATCTCTATGCCAGTGGAACAGGAAACCCCCTCTGTACCATCACATTAACTGCTGCATTTGGCCGCTGCTTGGAGTAGTGAAGTGCAAGATCTGAAGCCTGGAGTCTCTTTCCTGGTGGATCCGACCACCTCCCAGGCACAGCTCAGATATGCTTGGAGTCTGTTCAGTCATGGCAGCTAATCTGTCTGCGATGAACGTGGTACACAAAAATATCAGTTGTAAAAAGGGGGATTTATTGCAGGAGGGTTGTTCGTACCTGATGCCTCTCCTACATCTCCTCTTGACCTGATGCGCAGATGCCTGGTCTTGTCCTGTGATCTCACATCAGGATCTTGTTGTGTGGGGGGAAGGGGAAGGAGTGTTTGGAGCAAGAGCTGCAGGAAGATGAGAAGGGTTTTTGACAGCATGTTGAGTTGGATGTTGTACTGGTGTTGATGCCGCTGGTCCCAATGCCATCAAGACATTTCTTGTGGATGACAAGGAATCTAGGAAAGTAGTGATTAACATGCATATCAGTGTGATTGACAAGCTATGTTGTCTGCTTTGTGCTAATGTATTGCATGGATAACACCTATTCTTGGCATACCAGAGTCAGCATATAGATTTAGAGTAAAGACTTAAATCAGATATATCTAGTACCTTTCACAATAAATAAAAAGAAATTGTTTGATGGATCTATATGCTCAATAGACCATGGAGATCAGATTCTGCCTGGTAAGGGAACATTTTTGCCTCAAAGGGTTCAAATGGCTAGTAGGCAACATTCTTTCAGATTGCAGAAAGACCCATTCATTTGCTTTCCCATTCCTCCATCCCAAATTTATCACTTGCAAAGACAAGAAAAAAATAAGTACAACATCAGGTTTGATAACCTTCTGATAGTAGTGTGCTATTAAATATACACAAATCAGGCAGCTTGGAAAAACATAAGCCTTCCCAATCTGCCAAGAAGATTGAAATGGAAGTTTCAAAGTCTAAGGTTGTATATATTTTATATTCTTTCTGACACCATGCTGCACTCATTAAAATTACCATTCTTTTTTTCTTTTCTTTTCTTATCAGAGGCTAGACTACATGCTTTATTACTATACAGGTCAAAGATCACACAGGTTTCTAAACAACAACGATGCTACTTTATTTTCTTGAGAGAAACCTTTGAGATGTGAAAACTTACCACAAAAGCAGAGATGCCACTTTTGTCTGTTTGAATCCCTGCAGAACTGCTGCTGTGTGAAATGTGTGTAGTAGCTCCTAGGATTAACTCTGTGTGACAACTCTACTTTCTGTTGGTATTCCACACAAATATTCCTTCGCAATTTTCCTCTCTTCAGCAAGGCACATATGTGCCATTCCCAATGGCACTGTTTTATTTTTTAATCTACCTCATATTTTATAGAATTAAAGTCAAGTACCTGAAGTTGAATTCATAATGGCATCAGTTTTATCTATTTGCTTGTTTGGCTGACTAGAAATTTTTAAGTTCCTGGTACAACTCTAACATATGATCATCCAGAATCAGTCTCCTGCTGCCAAAAATTATCTATATCCTTTGATTGAAAGATCAGCCGCTTCCTTTGTCATCTTTATGCCAAATGTTAACTCTGAATCTTCTTTTAGCAGCAAAGAGGTAACATTTCGCAGTCTGTTACATGTACTACTTCTGCATGTAATTTCTATCAGACGATTAAGTGTAAGGATCTGAATAACCATATTTCTGAGTGATAAGCATGAAAATGTATTGTCAGAATATCTTCAGCTAGGACAATATACCTCATCACTACTGCAGCGAAACAGTTTTCTTCCACCTCTAATTTTAGTGACATTATATCTTCTAACAGTTACAACTCTACCTTACAGCAAGGCTGGCTGGAGGAACAATGATGTGATTTATGTCTGAAAGCCATTTACCCAAAGTAAACTACAGTAAAATAAAGCATGCTCAAAAATATAATTTAAGACTACCATTTTCGTGGGAAGATAAAGTGTGTAGATTTGTATTTCATTTAGGAATAGTGCAGTAATCAATGTTTCCAGTATTGTTTGAAGTGACTGATTCAGCAAGCTGTTGCAGGGAAGTGGGGCTGTTAATGTAGCAAGCTAATTTCTGGATATTATTTTTATGCACAGAATATAGAACCTTATCGATAATCATTTGGTTAATTACAAGCACAAGACGAAATGGCACTCCGTGTGCGTAAAAAAGGTGTAGAGAAGGAAAGCAGGAACTACACAGAACAATTCAGCATATAGTGTGAAAATTAAGGATGTCAAGTCATGAGCAGAGCAAGAATGTAGGGGTTGCTGTCAGAGGTGACAGGAACAGGAGGAGGTGCAGAAAAGATCATCACCATCTAAGCAGGTAAAAGTATAGCCCCCTACTGTGAAAGGTTTTTTTAATGATCTGGAAATGAACTGATTTCAGAGGTTTCCACAATTCACTACTCCTGGCATAGAACAAACCCACTATAGTTAATATTTCTAAGTTCTACAGGTTGAAAGGTCTGTTCCAGAGGTTTTGATCTTCTTCCTAGCTGTTTCACAAGGAGAAAGGAGAGGGAAGGTTGGGTTGTTTGTTCTGTATGATGCAGCAAGTACATTTATACCCCTGACATTTCTCTTCTTTTGGCAGCTCCCCCACAGATCACCCTGCGCATGGAGAATATAGAAGCAGCAGGACAGAACAGCACAGCAATCACAAACCTCCTGTGTATCTGAAGCTGAGATAGAATCACCAGCACTGAAGCTAAAAACCGATTTCAGTGACATCTGGCAGAATTTGCCAGCTGTTAATATGTGACTTCATCCATGGTAAAACAGGTAAAAATGCACATCTTCAATGAATGAATTGCACAACATTGAAGAACTGAGAAAAAGCACTAGAAATGAATCGTATTAGGTCCTTCATAAGACAATTTCTCAAACACTCTTTATATTTAAATGACTGTTAAATGAAATTGTTAAAGCTGTAACCCTGAACTTGTCTGTATTGAATTGTACTTATTTTTTCCAGACTGTTTCTCCAATTCATTGTGATCATATTCAATTTTAATTCCATCCCCCAGCTAACACCAAAGAAAAAATATCAACACAAATTTACAGATCATGTCCTGAACTGCTGGGCAGATGTCAGATAGGAGGAACACGTTGCATCTTTATTTTTAGATTCCAGCAGAAATGTTTACAGCTTATTGGCCCCAAGTCTGACTGTTTCTGACTTTCAGAAGGATTCAAAAGGTAATACTCTAAACTACACAATTCACTTCAATAGCTATGGAAGTCCTACTGCAAAAGCAACTTGAAGCTACAGGATACCACCAAAAGTCAGCTACCAGATCCATTCCATAGAGAGTCTTCAGAAAACAAATTAAGCAGCCACTGATCCCACAGACTCATGTTTCGGACTGAATATTCACTGGATAGGACAGTGTTTTCAAGCTCTGGTCACACTCTCAGAATTCCCTTGACACAATTTTGTTTTTTTTGTGTCTCACTCTCCAAACACTGCCCATGTAGGCTCCTACCAGGCCTGTTGTGTAAACCCACTATTAAGGTCTCATCCTGCAGTGCTTCATGGAAAAAGAGTGTCAGATCCCACCGAGAATTCTACCAGAAGATAGTACCACCAGTGCCAGATGCAAAGCACTGTGTAACTATGTAGACCTCCCTGGGCTGTGAGAAAGCCCACAGGGCTATTTACCCAAGCCACCTCTTGCAGACTGACACATGCCTGCATTGTGGGCTCCCCTGAGCAGAGGAACTGAACAGTATCCATCTTGATGATTCAGGATCAGGGTGAACTTGAAAGCTGCTTCTCCTCAGGACTGCATGTTGTTTGAGGATATACTACTGCTGCTACTACTACTGCAAATACTACTACTCCTACTACTACTACTGTTATTACTGCCAGAAACATTAAATATGTAATAATGATCCCCCTTTATGTTGAAATTACACTCTTTCAGATTTAAAACAACCACAACTTCCAGACTGCAGACTCTTTCATAACAACCAAAAAAAGTTCTTTTCTTTTTTTCCCCCTTTTTTTTTCAAATAATAAAGATTTTCCCACCATTTCTTCCTGCTTTATCTTACAAATTCCACCCTAAAAACATTTGGAGCCTCATGATGAGTAACTGCGATTCTACCACTGTTAATCTTGCATATAGATTGACATTTGAGTCAGGTTTAATATAACAGATGAACTCAACTGCTGACTGGTTCCAGTTATGTTTAGATGTTCAGTGAGTGACTTGTAAAAATAGCAAAAAAAATACTTCTCTAGAGGCTGAGAAATTAACACCATACTGAAACACAGATCTCTTCTCAAGTAGTTTTCTTTTTGGGGAGATCTTTTCATTCACCTGTTACTAAGAGAAATCAATGCAAGAAAGAAATGTATGGGATGTGGGAAAAGGGAGGGGCCATGCAGGAGAGCTATAGGAACACTGTCAGAGTACACAGGGATGCAACGAGAAAGGCCAAGGTCCACCTGAAATTGAGTCTGGCAAAGGACATCAAGGACAACAAGTGCTTCTACATGTACATCAGCAGCAAATGGAAGATTAGAGGAAATGTGGAACTGCTGCTGAATTACATGAGTATCTTGGTAATGGAAGACCAAGAAAAGGTGGAATCACTGAATACCTTCTTTGCCCCAGTCTTCACTGCTGAGAACAGCTCTCAGGAGTCTCAGACCTCAGAGGTAAGAGAGAAGGCCAGAGAAAGGAAGACTTCCCCCAGTCATAGAGGGTTGGGTTACAGATCAGCTAGGCAGACTAAACACCCATAAATCCATTGGCCCTGATGGGATGCACCCACGGGTGCTGAGGGAGATGGCAGATGTTGTTGCTCTACTGCTCTCCATCATCTTTGAAAAATCATGGAGAACAGGAAAGGTAATGTTGATCCCATTTTTAAAAAGGGCAAGAAAGAGGACCTGGGAAACTACCAGCTGGTCAGCCTTACATCCATGCTTGGGCAGTGATGGAACAGAACATTCTAGAGGTCATTACCAAGCATGTAGAAGAAAAGAAGGTCATCAGGAGTAGTCAACATGGATTCACCAAAGGGAAATCATCCTTGACCAATCTGATAGCCTTCTATGGATGCATTGCAGGATGGATCAATTAGGGGAGAGCAGTGGATGTTAGCTACCTTGACTTCAGCAAGGCTTTTGTCACTGTCTCCCACAACATCCTTGTAGGTGAGCTCAGGAAATGTGGGTTAGATGAATGGGCAGTGAGGTGGCTCAAGAACAGGTTGAATGGTAGAGCTCAAAGAGTCGTGATCAGCGGAGCAGAATCCAGTTGGAGGCCTATAAACAGCAGCATTCCCCAGGCTTCAGTACTGGGTCCAGTCTTACTAAACTTGCTTATCAGTGACCTGGACAAGCGATAGAATGCAAGGGATCATCAGTAAGTTTGCTGACAATATGAAACTGGAGGGAGTGATGCCATCTGAAGGCTGTGACGCCATCTACCCTTGATAGGGTGGAGAATTGAGCATAGAGAAACCTAATGAGTTTCAACAAAGGCAAGTGTAGGATCCTACAACTGGGGAGGAATAACCCCAACTACCAGTACAGGTTGGGGGCTGACCTACTAGGGAGCAGCTCTGCAGAAAAGGACCAGAGAGTACTGAGAGATTGACCATGAGCCAGCAGTGTGCCCTTGGGGCCAGGAGGGCCAATGGTATCCTGGGGTGTATGGGAATAGTATGGCCAGCAAGTCGAGGGAGGTGATCCTCCCCCTCTATTTGGCCCTAGTGAGACCACATCCGGAGTAGAGCGTCCAGTTCTACTCTCCTCAGTACAAAAAAGACAAGGAGCTACCGAAGACGGTCCAGCAGATGGACACAAAGATGATTAAGGGTCTGGAACATATCTTATGAGGATAAACTGTAGGAGCTGGGTCTGTTTAATCTGGAAAAGAGAAAACTGAGAAGGGATCTCATTAACGCATATAAATATCATAAAGACGGATGCCAAGACTCTCTTCAGTGGTACACAGTGACAGGATGAGGAGCAATGGGCATAATCTAAAAAAAAAAGTTTCACCTCAAGATGGGGTAGAACTTCTTTACATTGAGGGTGGTAGAGCACTGGAACAGGCTGTCCAGAGAGGTCGTGGAGTCTTCTTCTCTGGAGACATTCCAAACCCATCTGGATGCATTCCTGTGTAACCTGCTCCAGGTGACATTGCCTTGGCAGGGGAGTTGGACTAGGTGAACTCCAGAGATTCATTCCAACCCTAAAAATTCTGTGATTTATCTGCCAAATGACAACACAGAACGCAAGAGTAGTGAACAATTCACTCATTTATTTCCCTGCACTATCGCAAAATATTAATGGCAAAATGCAGATTTGCATAAAAATTGGCAAACTGCATGTTTGGTCATAACTGATTAATATGAAACCATTTTCATTTCTACTCTTCTTACAGAATTCAAGTTATATATGGATTATAAGAATGTAATGTCCCTCCATTTCTTCAATTCACTGTGCGCTTTCCTTCCCTGTCTCGCCATCTGTTTAGGTGTTGTGTTTTTTTTAAGCTCTACTATTTCATGCTACTAAAACTTTGCAAATTTTAAGCTGAAAAGGGAGTTGAATAATGAGTAATTTTGACTCTTTAACATGGTTAAGTAAAATATTCAGTCTTTAATAATTTGAATTATCTTTGATATTTCCTATTAAATAGTAAATCTTAGTAACCTTACTTAGTTCTTATACAGCGGTTTTCACCATGGACAAAGCAGGAAATTATCAGTTTGCCAATATTTCAGATACCCAAATATTCCTGAAATTCCTTCATTTCTTCCCACTCAGGTTCAATTTAGCTTATCTTGCTTGACAATCAGAAACCACAGAATAGATGAGGTTGAAAGAAGCATATGAGGATCATTCAGTCCAACTCCCTTGCTCAAAACAGGCTCAGAAAAACTAAATTTTCCAGGACTGTGTTCAGTTCTGAGTGTCTCAGGATGGAGACTATACAACATCTCTAGATAGCCTGTTCCAGTGTTCAACCACTCTCACAGTAAATAAAAAAAAAATTCTTATATTCAGATAGAATTTTCTGTGTTTCAGTTTATGACCATTGCCTCTTGTCTTCTCAATGGGTGCAAATGAGAAAAGTCTGTTTCTTCTTTACGCTCTGCCATCAGACATTTATAAATATCGATAAGATTTCTCTTGACCCTTCTCTTCTTCAGGCTAGATAATCCCATCAGCCTCACCACATATGACCATTTGCTCATCATCCTCGTAGACTTGCTCCAGTAAGTCTATATCTCTGTTGTACCAGAGCGCCCAGAACCGACACTCCAGATGTGGCCTCACAAGTGATGAATAGACAAGAAGGATCACCTCGCTCAACCTCTTAGCAACACTCCTCCTAATGCAGCCAGCCCAGGAAGCTGTTGGCTTCCTTTGCTGCAAGGGTACATTGCTGGCTCATGGTCAGCTTGTTGCCCACCAGGACCCTTGAGGCCTTTTTTCGAAAGCTGCTTTCCACCTTGTCAGCCCCAGCATGTAACTGGTGCCTGGTGTTACTGCTCCCTGCGAGTAGGACTTTGCGCTTCCCCTTGCTGAACTGCATAAGATTCCTCCCTGTCACTTCTCCAGCACATCACGATCCCTCTAGCACACACACCTGGTTTATCAGCCATTTCTCCCAGATTTGTATCATCCGCAAACTTGCAGAGGGTACAGTCTGCCCCGTCATCCTGATCATTAATTAAAAGGTTAAGCGGTATCGGCCCCTGTATTTATGCCTGAGTGTCTGATCTCCAGCTAGACTTTGTGCCACTAATCACCACACGCTGAACCTCGCAGTTCAGACAGCTTTCAGTACCCCTCCACTAGCCCCTCCTTCATCAGCTTGTGAGCTCCTTA